GAGTCTAAACTCTGAACCAAACATACAGATTACTCAATGTATTCCCTTCCAGCAGCACTTTGACAACGTAAAAAGTAGCATCAGCAGTTCTCCATAAAGAATTCATTGAAAATTTGTCCAGCAGTATTACCGAAGAATACTTCCTTGCATGTGAATCAGAATGGTAATTCAATATTTATAATCAAAGATTGATTTCACATTACTACTCATCATTTAATATGAATAAAATCAAATATTTTTGTATTATTTCAGTTAGTAATGCAAACAAAACAGTTATCAAATATATGTAATATGTTTACGACCGTGTCGGGCAGAATGGACTAACCAGCACCCCTTGGGCAGTCATTTTAAACAGTGACAATTTCGGATGCGGGCAGATGGAACTCATTTAACCCTTTAAAGTTATTCATCTAACCTACTACCTCAATATTTCGCTGCTATGGCCCAAACTTGCAAATTAAAAATAGCATCCTTTAGTTCACCATAAAATGCCCAGAGTGCTCATCAAAGGAATTCAAAGGACCTAGAAGTCCAGGTACTCTGAACTCCTTGCTCACCTACCCGTCTTGCAAGAAAAGCAACCTTACATACTGCAAGCTTCATAGATATTTCGGAACATCAAGAACAGATGATGAGTCAGTAATATATGAATTCTAACCTCAGAAGGCTCTAGAGAGTTCTGAAATGCATTGAATAACGAAATAAATTTGAATCGAATATGTCGAAATAAATTTGTATTGAATTCATAAGACTAAAGATTGTCTTATTTGAATAATTCTTAGATAAATGTTTCAGTTAAGAAATTCCTTATCTAAAACTCATCTAAATTGTTTGGAATTCTACTGTATTCACAAAGATGTTGAAAATTGCTCCCAATTTTAATACTAAAAATTTCCAACCAAACAGCCAAACTTAGACTTAACTTTTAACATCTAAAAATTGTAAGAGTCTGCTGTTTTGACATTCAGTCTTATGAGTAATTGATGTAATGAGAGAGTAAAGATTATCCGGAACGGAAGCTCTTTAGATACGGTAATCATGTGCTTTGTTATAAACCACTCCTATTCTACAAGTTAAATAGAGGAATGAAGGTAGTTTTTCTCGATTGCACTTCGGAAGTTCTACACTCTCTCCTCTCCCTCAGATGTACTTCCTCAATTTTTCTAATAATAATTTCGATTATTTCATCTTGTTAAATGCAGATAAGCTCTGCTGTACCGCAGATAGATTTATGATTATTCTCATATCACATCTAAGATTACCAGTTTAACTATCAGGAAAACATCATTTTCTCGTATCGCCATCATTGACAAAAGAGGATTTTCTAAAAATAGTTTCGAGACATATTAAAAAAAAAATCGAATAAATTGCTAATTCTGGATACGATGATCATGTATATATATAGTGATACAGTGATATATAATGATTACATATATAACAGTGATTTTGTGTAACGATTATCGAGAATGAACTATTCGAGAGAATATTGTGTCACATATGTGAAATTCTGCATTTATTTTACATTACTTAAATGAAATTAATATTTATAATAATATTTAACTTTGCATCTTGTCAATATTTTTTAAATTCAAAGTATCAGAAAAAAAGAAAAAAAATTAAGCAATCTATCTTTATTTAATCGAGAATATGTATATTTCTTGAAAGAACTAGAAAAAATAATGATAATGTTGTTATGATATATATATAATATTAATAATATTATACTGAATAATCATTATGCATAATGAATAAATGCATTTATGATCAACCAAATATGATCATCAATTGTTCATACAGCAATCAATTTTTATTAAAAAGTTCAAACATTCACAATATTTAGTCGTTTTGGAATCACACCTCAAGATTTCCACTCGTTTATAATTAATTAATTAATTATACATTGGCGATGTATATATTAGCATTATTGCTATCAGTAAGTAAATATGCAATTTAATTAATGTATGAAAATTTGTTTTTGCTTTTTTCGAGAGAAAATTATATGCATTCTACCACTCTAGTTACTGATTTAGTTCATACCTGATTTCTATTAACTATAATCCAATTAATAATTCAATAACTCATACCTGATTAACTATAATTCAAAAATCATACCTGATTTCTATTAACTATAATTCAATTAATAAATCAATAACTCATACCTGATTAACTATAATTCAAAAATCATACTGATTTCTATTACTTATAATTCAATTAATAAATTAATAACTCATACCTGATTAACTATAATTCAAAAATCATACTGATTTCTATTACTTATAATTCAATTAATAAATTAATAACTCATACCTGATTAACTATAATTCAAAAATCATACTGATTTCTATTACTTATAATTCAATTAATAAATTAATAACTCATACCTGATTAACTATAATTCAATTAATGGCATTAATAACTCAATTTCACTATTCGATTATGTCATTTTATTTACTATTCAACAGCACTTAATGTTGTCATTTCCTCTTTTTTCTGAAAAATTTTCACAAAAAAAACAAAAATTGCATATCTTTATAAGAAATTTTCCTTTTTTCTTTTTGCTCAGTATTTAATACAGTGTAAAGAAATAAAGTAAAATTGTTGCCATTAATTCCTGATGATAAAATGATTGTATTATTATCACTGATGAAATGTTGCTAGTTGAATATGCCAGTTTGTAAAAAATGAATGACAAAATATCATTAGGCATTTTAATACGAGTATTAAAATTAATATGTAAGAAAAAAGCAAACTTTTTTTAAAAAAAAAAAAAAAAAATATCCAAAATGAGAAAACTAAAATAGAATCTGAAATTAAAAAAAAAAAAAAGTTAATAGAATAGGCAATTGACTTTTTAGTAGGAAAAAAAAGAAAAGAAAAGTTCTTTTGATATTTATCACTTCCATTAATAGTTGCCAGGTGTGAGACTATTCACAGTTTCATTTATTTTGAAGATTTACACCATCAATTCATACAATAACAGTGCTATTTGATAGTGATAATTTAGCTACTCACTCAACACTTTATTAAAATTTTTTTCATTGACTTGAAAAGCTCATTGGAAATATCTCCTCTATACATTATTTGTCATATTACTTGACCTATACTTACATTTGTCGTATAAAATGAATCAAAAATTCTTGAGAAAATTATTACAAGTAAATATTGTAAATATTCATCTAAATATTGAAAATTTCAATAAGTGTTGACAAAAATAAGAATTAAATCAAAGAAAAAAAAGAAAAAAAAACAACAAACATACCGAGAAAAAAAAAAATGAGGCATACCAAGAAAAAAAAAAAGAAGTTTATATGCACAATGGGGAAAGGATAAAAGGGAAATAAAAGGGGGAAAAAAGTATAATATTAAAAAAAAAAGGCACTAGTAACAGAAGTGAAAAACCAAAGATAAAGGAGATTAAAAAAAAAAAAAAAAAAGAAAGAAAAACAAAGATGAAAAACAGATAAGCACTGATAATAGTGAGAAAGGAGTAAAATAAGGCATTTTAATGATGATATAAGTGTACTGGTAATAAAATTCATTGTTAATTATTTAATAAAAATAAAACAAAAAAAAAAAAAAAATCATTTGTAATAATTTAAGAAAACTATAAAGATGGAAAAGAAAAAGGAGGAGGAATAAAAAGATTAATAAACAATGCATTCTATAAAAAAAAAAAAAAACTATAAAATAACAAAAATTAAATACAAAAAGTTGGAAAATACATACAACCAAACATTAAACTTTAAGCTGTACATATCAGAAAAACAATGTTTTAAAGGAAAAAAAACTAGCATAAATACTATGAATATGTATTATTTATTTTATTTATTGTTATTCCCTTATTCATTTTGCCTTTTTTGCATCATTTTCCATTTTTTAGCATTCATTAACTATGTTGTATATTGCATTGTAATCAATAGATTAAATAATACATTTTCCAATTGAGAAATCAGATCATAGAGATAAAAACAAAGGATGATTTTCATAATTTTCCAACAACAATAACGATAAATTAATCTAAAATGGAATGAAACAATAAAATTTATTTGTTCATTTCATCCATGCCATGGCAACAACTAATAGTTATTAATGAGATGACAAGAGAGGTGAAAAGTAGTGCCAAATGATAATTGCATCTAAATTTAATCATATCTTTTCATTTACAATGGTGTGCACCAAAGTAAAAGGTCATTCCTGACCATAAATTTTCAGATTAGATGAACATAGACGATTTTTATACTTTGATTTCTAGTATAATTCTATGAGAAAGCTAACTGCAGATCGAAAGTATAATAAGTATTTACATTATTGCCAATGCATTGATACACAACTTCAATAAACAATAAGGATATAATTATTAGTTTTAAAGATGAAGTCTTGAAAAAAAAAAAATAAATAACACAATAATCAATCATACAATAAAGACCAAAATGGAAAGAAATAAAACACCGATCTCTGCAGCTTGCTAAGCTTAAATTTATGCGAATTCATTCAGCAATTCAATGAAAAACGAATTAATTAGAGAAAGATAGAAATATATGTCTGCTACTTATTTCCTAAAAAAAAATGCTTATTTATTTTTTTTGCTACAAATTGCGAAACATATTATTTCGCTTGATGGACTTCAATCAAATTTAACTAGACAATAATTTTTGGACAAATGCAATACATCATCATTGCTCAAATCGTTAAGTACACCAACTCGACCACCACCCAATAAGCCGAATTCAACCATCATTTTTGCCTGGAACAACAAATTTTTTTAATTCAATCTACTAGTTATTTTAAAATAGCTTCAGTGCACTGAATGATTAACTGATTCACTCGCTTTCCTTTGAAATGGCTACTATGGGAAAATTCGATTAAAATATTAAGTAAAACTAAAATCAAATAACTGAAACTGATAAAAAATAAACAGTATAAAATAGCTTCAATGCATGATAACTTAATTTATAAGTAAATAAATTAACAAATAACAGTAGTGTTATAATAGACAATGACTAAAAGTTTGTTTGTTTGTTTGTTTTTTTTTTTTTTTTTAGAACAGGCATATTACTAATATATATTATTAATTTTACCTTTATATCATCATCACTGATATCAAACGAATGACTATCCGAGAAATCCATGATAAATGTTCCACTTGCTAAGAGAGGTACAGGTACTTTGCATGAATTGAATGCAGATATTATAGTGCCTGTTGGAGCCGGATAACCACTAACGCTTCGCGTTCCAGCAACAACAATCAATTCTTTTGCTGCACATGGTTCTTCACGTATCTGCAAAGATTAGAAAGCATATAGCCTGTAACACTTCTGATAAATCACTGCAGATTAACTATTGCAAAAGAGCAGTAACTCATATTCCTTTACTCGAACACGATCCATAAAACTTTGAGATATTCCTCCATGAGAACATATATACAAACTAAAAAGATCTTAAAAGTCCATCAAACAGCGTTTACCACTGAATGAGATGATGTCCTCTCTCTTACCTGTATACCTTCTTTTCGTGCATTCATTTCAGCAGCTGCCAGATTTGAACCAATATTTCCAGATGCATACATCAAACCAACAACAGCACCAGCATGTAAAGCTTTTTGGAGGCTAACAAGGGCTGAAACAAGATTATTGCAATATAATTTCGAAATTGAAACTAAACTTTAAATTAAAAAGACAAACTATCGAATGCACATTTCATCACAACAATACAATCACTATCACTACGATAAAGGGCACAACGATTTTTGAGTTATACTTACCAATTCTGACCATTTTTTTTTTCAACCTTTTCTCTTTTTTGAGATAAAAATCCTGAAACTTTTCGAAATGTATATACGTCAAATCCCGAAAATTTGCAACAGTGTATTTTTGCATGAACTGATACTAATTTGATAAAAGGTTGAATAAAAGGCAGTAAATGTACAAATACGAACAGTTAGGGAAGCGTACAGTAACCGCTCTTGGCGAATTCCCGATTACGGCCAACGTTTGCGTTAATGTTGCTACAGCACGAATCCACTGACTTTTAGCCTCATCCAATGCAGCTGTAGCCGCTGCTGCATTCATCTACAAATCGACAGTTAACAAGAACAACAACAACAACAACAACAATACAACAATAAATAATAAAGAAAACAAACAAATAGAGAAACAAAAACATGCGGCAACATGCTAGTTGATATAAAAAAAAATGAATTCAAATCCCTTAATCAGTAAAGTTCACAAAATTGACAACGAAATCTTCTATAAACATTAGTAATGAAATTAATGAAAAAATCACTGCAAAAAAAAAAAGAAAAACTTTTTTGCACTTCAACCTTTTAATCACATTTTGTACTAAATCATCTTTCCTTCTTAATCATTCCTATTATTTGAATTATTGAGCAACAGTAATCGATATCAGTAAAATTGAAACTTACCGCTCCATATGGACCAGTCGAATTATTCAGTGAAACAATATTTTCTGCAATTTCATTTGCAATTCGTTGATGTCCTTGCAAGGGACTAGTACCCATATGCGGTGTGCAAATAACATTTGGATGTTCAACTAACCCACGAACAAGCGGAGCATCCTGAAATTCTTCAGTGATATAATCCTATCAATACTAACACCATATGCTAAGAGCATAAACACAGGCAGATATAAAGTTCTTTGTAAAATAGTCAGAAATGGAGTACTAACCTCTACATAAACATCAAAGGCTGCACCACCGACACGTCCCTTGTTTAAAGCTTGCAACATATCAACTTCGTTCATGATACCAGCTTTAGCCATATTAATTATTTTCACACCTTTTCGACAGCGAGCTAACGTTGAAGCGCACAATAAATTTTTGGTACGTGGTATCAGTGGTACATGGATGACAATATAATCAGCCTGAGGCCAAAGTTGATCCAGGGGGAGCCATCTAATACCATGCCGAGCGGCTTCCTGTATATATTTATTCAAACCCAAAAGTATTAAATTATTCTGAATGATTTCGCTCAGCGACTATTATAGATAATGGGGTGCTATTACTATATCTAAGATCTTAACAAAGCCAATCCGGAATTCCCACGTGAATTAACACTTGAATTACAATTAGGTTTAAGCGTTGTTTACATATATTTTCCATTTCTATTTAACATTTAATGACAAAATATCCAGGAATAAAAAATTTTGCTAGCTCTACATCTAAATCAATGTCTACAGCATTTTAAAAATAAAAAAAAAAAGAAAAAAAATAAATAAACCAACTTCTTGTGTAACCTGTGGATCATACCCAAATGTTCGCATACCAAAGACCTGCATACGTATTGCTATTTCTAAACCAATGCGCCCTAAGCCAATAATCGCTAATGATTTTCCAAAAATCTGGAATAATAAAAGATAATTCTGAGCTGAAATTCATGAGGTTAAATTCTTACACAACAATATACAAATCCAATAAAATGTTTCTTTTTATGACATTCACTAAAACTGAAGCATCCAGTTTTAGTGAATATCATAAAAACTTCTTAAGAAGCACAGAAACATAAAATCCAAAAAAAAAAAAAAAAAAAAGAAAAAATCTGATAAATGATGAAGTCTCAAATTTGAAAGTTAATACTGAGCTACCAATAGTTCTAATACATCAAAATTAATGGGAAATAAATTTCTTACGAAATCACATGAATAAAGATCTGAAAAGCATATGAAACCTCTTCGGCGTATGGTTCTGTCCTTGTCCATTTGCCCTCTTTCATTGATGCTACTGCTTGCGGAATCTTTCGAGCCAATGAAAGGATTAATGCACAGGTATGTTCAGCAATATTTTCAGGTCTTTTACCTGCAAACAACAACGAAAATCTCTACCATACTAGTTATTAGGCGGAGAAAACATAAAAAAAATAAATTTTGCTGCGTAATTATGATTTTTTATTTTTTAATACATTAACGCAAGGAAATTAATATTTCTTATATATATATAAATAATACTTTTTGCAGCTCATATTTTAAGAAATTTTTGGTGCAACAATTTTTTTGGATTCATAGCAATCCAATAACACTTGAAATTAAATAATCAAATTCCAAAAGGTAACAACTAAAAATATGCATGAAATGGCACGGAAGCTAACAAACCATTATCAACAATCTCCCAATTGTTGAGTATATATCGTTCGAAAATTTCATCAAAATGATTCTCGAGTGAATTTCCACTATTGCCTTTTCGTTTCCGGCTACTTGTTGATAAACCATTGACTAACACTGTTGGAACCGTGATACCAGAAAGAGGTACGGAAGCCGATGAAGAACTTACGGAAGGTGGTCGAGAATCTGAATTTTGCAATGAATTGATAACCACAGCTGTACTACTTTCTGGACTACTACGAGTGTCAGGGCCATTTATACTGTTCAGTTGTTCATCTTCGGTACCACCGCTACTAGTAGGTATAGCGGATGTTGCTATTGCTAAAGGTAGCACATTAGTCCGATGAGCTGTTGCCGGTAGCATCATTTGTGTTCGTAAAGCTGGTTCTGAACTTATTAGCGATGCAAGCAGATGGGTTGCTTTTGCGGTACCATCACTATCATCATCTTCAATTTTGATGTTATTCAGGAAGTCACTGCTATCACCCGCTGAATCCAGCTCACCTTTTACTCCACCGGTAACCAAACTTAATAGTTGCGAAGCAGAAGATGCCGTAAAGTCGGAGCTAAGATCGAAACCACCAGCAATACTGGAGATGTCGAAGATATTTCCAGCAGAACCGTTCAGCAATGCATTACTCATTTCCTGATATGCTTGCAGTTGTGCTGCTATTACCGAATCTTTCTTAAGATTACTACCATTACCGATACCACCACCGGTATTATTCTTTCGAGTTGCCTTTTGTCGTGGACGTCCTTTAACAATAGCCTTTGCAAAACCGTTCGCTTCACGCTGCCGAGATTCATCAAGTGTTGGTGGAATGCAGAAATGATCATTTGCTTCCGGAAAATCGGGATCATTCACGATGAATCCATTTTTCACAGCGATACACGGAATTTGGGGTGGTTTTCCATCTGGTCCTGGTGGTACCTTATTCTTCATACTACGACAAGACATACACCGATAATAGCATGAGCTGACACCCGATTGATTGGTAAATCGAGTCTTGAAAGCGAATTCACGCCGATGTCCTGGATGTGAACGGCTTTCATATACCAGTACATGTCCACCAAATACTGTTGGAATGAATGTTGCTGGATGCGTAGTGAACTTAGGAAGTTCAGCAGCCGTGAAAACCATCGAAGGAGGCCGTTGGTCCGCCGTGGTTACTTATTTTCTGAAATACAACACTTTAACCATTTCAGAAGACAGTAAAAGCAAAAGCTTCTCTTCGAAAGTGTAAAATTGCGCGAAAACGTCATAATTCACAAATAAAATCTGATATGAATTCATTTTAGATCTGAAATATTTATAAATTTTTCTACTCTTGAAGATAACAGTATCATCGTCTAAATCAAAACACATCTCCTAAAATGTAACAACTTTTGATTCACTTCTCTCTTGAATGTAACATCTTTTGATATTCAGAACGGAAAGATAAAAGAAAATGTGAAAAACATTCAAAAAATTTAATTGAAAACAAAATTGTACAGTTCATGGAGGGGAAGGGGAAAAAAGAAAACATAACTGATGAAAAAAAATTGTTTGCAAATGGATAAAGATAAATTTATTCCATTCAATGATATCTTCATATATTCCAAAAGGTTAATTGAATTTAAACTGTAAGTTATCTTATTAAAAAAAAGAAAATCTTTGCTAATAAACATTTTATTGCAACATGGGTAATAGTTGAGAAAAGTTTTGAAAAATTCTTCTAAGCGATTTAACACAAATCATGTGCTAACAGTACATATTAGCTTTTATATAAGCAAATAAATAAATAAGCAAACAAATGAGGATTGTTGAGTTAATAGTAATTTCTACAGGCTTTGTTGTAAAATTTGGAATAAATGAGCCTAGAAAAGATTAATTAGCAAAATGATTGTGAAGTTCATCTTTTTTAAATATAATAAAAACAGCTCCGATTGCATTATAAGTTAAGCTGATTAAGTTGCAATAGGTTTTTTATCATAAAGAAAGTTTTTTTTCTTCTTAATTTTTATCATCTTTTTATCATCATTTTTCCATATGATTTCAACTCACAGATGCAGTACTAGTGTGATGGTGTGGTGTGGTGGTGATGCTAGTAGTAATGATGTAATGATGGTGATAACGGTGGTAAATGGTTGCTAGTTACAACTACTGAAAGTGGTAGTATGATAACAACCTGATGGATAGAAAAACGATGAAAGGTACAAGTACGATCGGAATGATATGGGTCGACTAGCCTAATGATAATTAATTGGCTCTATAAGAGGGATATTGCAAACATACATCCATCAAACCACACACTTGTCCTTAATTGTTGCTCAAAATTACCAAAAGGAAATGATGGTGGTGATGATGATGATGATGATGACGATGACATGAAAGGTAAAGGATGCAAAAGTAGGAGTAACGGAGGACAGGTAAAAAGGGAAAGAGAGAGAGTGAAGAGAGAAATCACGAAAGAAGAATAGGATGGTAAAAGAGGAATATTTAGACAGGCCTAAGAGGTAATATATACATTCTCACACCGATGATCACCAAGAAATTTTTGGATTGTATGGCTGGCTCAAACCAGTAGGTTACGAACGATTTCAGAATATATATTTTAGTGATGATAATGAGAGAATTTGTTAGATGAAAGAGATGTGCTGATAATGATGATGATGGGCTGTGTTTGGGCAAGAAAGATGAATTGGGTAAAGAATAGGACAGGCGGGGGAGGGAAGGTGAATTATGGGATAGGAAAAAGGTGGTCCCGGGGTGTTATAACCGAAAATACCGGTTGCTGTTTGAAGATGAAAAAGTTCGATGCGAATGATATTTGAGCTGGCAATGGACAAAATTCTGTGCCCTAAAACATAAGCATATATGCCTGTGACAAGAAGAAAAAAAAAAAAGAAAAGAAAAGAGAATTTATTAGAAATGATGCTTAAAACTTTTTTTTAAAAAAAAATATTTCTTTCAAATTTTAAGTATTTATTTAAAAAAATTAGACAAAATCTTTCCAACTCTTTTTTTTTTATTTCCTTTTTCTAAAAAAAATATAAATCATCTAGCAAATAAAATATATTTTTTTACTAGCACTTTTTTTCTGTCATTTCTACGATGCTAGCTAACAGTCTAGTTACTTATCAGACATACTGGTTTATGAATAGTTCTTCCTCTCCCTTTCTCTCTCTCTCCTCTCTCTCGCTTTTTCCCTCTTCTGAATACTTTAATAGTTCCAAGTAAATATTTGGGAATTGCTATATGTATATATTGCATAGGTAATGTAATAAAGTAAGAAATTATTTCAATATTACCTCTCAAAAAGATTAACTCGCAAAGTTATGAACCAAAAAAAAAAAAAAAAATAAATATTAGTGATACTAAAAGTTAGGTATAATTCTTTTCTTTACCCTTCATAAATATATTACTACCACGAACAATATAATAAATAAACTTTCCGTTCCACTGATCATTTTATGGCTGAATGTGCGCCCAAATAAAATAACTGTCAATAGCCTTCCATCTTCAAACTTCAAAATGGGGACACAATCGGTAATGTTGGTATTATTGCCATGCCTTCGTTGGTCTCATTTAAGTCGCCAAAACCAGATTTTCACAAAATCTTGTCTTCTTTTTCTTCTTGTCATTCCCTCTTCCTCTTCTTTTCCCACCTCTCTTCCTTTCCCCATCCAATTCCTCAAAAGTTTTGGTTAGCAAACCTTTATACCCACTTAATACATCAGCATCAATCACTATCATCATCATCATCATCATCATTATCAACATTATCATTCATTGTAACCTATATCATAACCTCAGAATTTTACATTAACAATTCATTCTGGTCAACATCTTCATCTCATCAACAAAATCATCATCATTATCATTTCTATTATTATTTACCCGTTTTTGATCAAACAAAAGGAAGAGTCATCACAGACAAGAATATTTTACTTCAATGGTATGAACAAGATAAGGCACGAAGACAAGAACCCTAAGGGCATTCAACAGACAAAATAAAAACTAATGAAAACTTGAAAACGATTATCATCTATCTAGTGGAAAGCATCTTATCAATTGCTAATTTACCACTAACAATGCTATCGATGATTTAACATTTTGTTATGGAAATGGAAAATTTCGTATGTTTTATGTTTAATCTAAATCTTTAAATCTATTAAATTTGTGAAAAAGTCAAAGAAAAAAAAAAAAAATTGCACAAAATCTAGGAAGAAGATTAGTTTGTATAATTGATAAATGAGAAAAGAGAAAAATAGAGAAGCAATAAAATGTATGATTAAGAAGGAAAATATATTCGATGAGAAATAAAATTAAAAAAAAAAAAAAAAAAAGTATGCGGAAACAGTTAAAATATTTTAAAAGAAATAAAACTTGACCAAAATGAACAATGAGGAAGCAAAAAAAAAAGAAAAAAAAAGGAATGAAAACGTTTTTGCTTCGTGTCATTCTCTTTTTTGTGTATGAAAATTTTTTAAATCAAATTTTTATTAAAATTCTTTAAATTACATTAAGACGAAAAACAATATATACTTTTATTTTTTGCCAATAAGCAATCCAAAAACTCTTCAGTTTGTTATTATGGCTGTTGTTGTTCATTTTGTTGTTGACATTTTAAGATTTAATATAAAATAGGAAGGAAAAAAGAAGTAAACAAGCCACCTGTAAATTGACGAAAATTATTACTGCTTCCATTCATACCTAAGATTATTCCTTTACTCTACAATCATATTTCAGTACATCACATTTAATTCAATTAATTATATAATAATTTATTATTTGGTCAAGTTTTACTTCTTTTAAAATATATTTTAATATAAATTTATATATCAAATAAAACCAAAAATACTACTAAAGTTAGCGAATAATTCATGAAATCATGAAATATCAAACCGCAAATTGTTCACTTTTTCATTTTAAATTTTCTTCTGTCTTCTTTTCAAAATTTTCAAAATACACATATGCATAATAAAACTTCCAAGTTATCCAAAATCTGAAGTACCACTTTAGTCATTTTATAATTCACTATAATACTTTATATATACATACCAATATGAAATATATCGTAAAAAGAATTACAAACTTTAGCCATTGCAGGTCTATCTCTTCCGTTCATTTCAAGAATTTCCGAAGATTTCATCGTTTTATCTTTCACCATGAAATTCTTCTCGTAACCTGCTATAGAATCTTTTCTTAAGTTGATTTTACTTCTCATTCTTAGCATATGAAATATATGTCAATGACCAAAGTGGCATCAATGAAAACAACAGTGGTGCTACAGCTATTACTGCAGTAATACCTAGCAGTGCCACTGCAGTAATAGCAGTAGCACTACCTACCGATATCACCACTACTACACCATTATCACCAGCACCACTACCACCACCACCAAACAGCAGAAGCAGAAGCAGCAGCAGCAACATCAACAACAGAAGCAGTAGTAGTAGTAATAGCATCAGCCGCATCAAACCAGTCATAATTTTCGCAATGGGGACAACAGGAACTAACGTTGATCGTAAGGAAAACGAGTCGAGTTGAGTCGAGTGAAAATGGAGCCGTCACAATGGAAGTTTTGGTACGGAAATCAGAGCAAGAGAAGACCAAACAGGGTTGGGGATACAGAACACTAAGAAGAGGACGAGAAAAGAGGTATGGATGAATAGATAGATGGAAGGATGAAAGGTCTGAATGGTTGACTGGTTGGTTGCTTGGTTGGTTGGTTGGTTGGTTCGATGGATAGATGGATGGATGGATGGATGGATGATGGGTGGATGGAAGGAAAAAAGATGCCTATATGTCTTTTGCCTTTGCCTTTGCACTAGAAATGAAATGAATGATTGTGTTAAATGGTATTATCGAAATAGTTGAAATGAGATGGTAAGTGTAAAGAATGAATGTAACATACAGGCCTTTTAAAGGATAACTTCAAATAATACTACTACTACTACTACTGTTACTCAAAACATAATTAGTACAATTGACCATTGATTTTACTACGCCAATAAAAACTTTAAAATGCCATTCAGCCTATTTTTCCAAGAAGGAAAAGGTAGAAAGAATAGAAGCTTGAAGAATATATGTGACAAAGAGACAAAGAACATTCTGCAAAGAATACAAATGGATAATAGTTCAAAGCAAAATATAATGTTGAAAATTTAATGCATGAAACGAATAAATGGTGTATATATACGTCTAAATGGATAATTTTACTTTAGTTAATATATGCCATATTCTGTGTCATATACAAGTCAATCTGGATTCGATCCGGAATTACTGTTTCCGAAACTGAGGATGTAATATGGAGTAATGAAGAAGTAGAGAGATAGGTGTGTTAATGATATAAAAAGATTAGCTAATCAAGCACTAATAAATAGCTAAACGTAACCACAAAGAGAAAATTCCTTCTTCCTCCATTCACATACACACAACAATCGATCAGCAAAGGTCAAAGGAGAGATACGTGAATGATATGTGCAGAGTACTATTAGCTTAAACCCACTAGTATATATTAACGGCAACAATCCTATTTACCTTTTCAATACTACATTATCAGTTTTATTTTCCGGAATCATTGCTGGTTTTTTGCAACACTTATTTGTACACCGGAATCACTCATCTCTGTCACACTATTATGTCATTTCTATCTTGATAACATGACAATTTTGAAAGAGCTGTAAGTGCTGACTACACACACGTAAGATACGTGTATACGTTATATTATCATACATAAACATGCATATGCACATACAGTGCATGCAAGTGTGAACATATAATATACATACCACAAATTATATGCACAAATATATTAGGAATGTTTGTACATACGTAAAGTACGCGCGTATACATGCGTACAAACGTGTATGCACGCACTATAGCTATGCATGCATGCATTTTCATACAGCATTTATACACATTAGATATTACACGTATACATACAAAGCCAGATATGTACCCTGGCCACAAGTATGCATACGACCCACTCACGTATAGTTACACACTCACTTACGTGTAAACTCACGCAAGCATACATATGCATATACAAAGACACGTAAGAATAGGTTGAAACATTTGATATGCTACATTGGTGAGGAAAGAACCGTCGCATCTACCTAAATTGTTACGAATGCCTGTTTAGTCTAAGGTGAGACTCTCATATACTGCAAAATGGCGAAATGATGATGTGTGTGTGTGTGTGTGTGTGTGTATGTCAGTGTATGTACACCATTTGGCCTCACATGCAAGTAAACAGACAAATAGACAAACCGACGTAGACACACATATAAGAGCCTAAAGAGAAAGTATAAACAGCCCATCAACTCCCGTACAGTTTAGTTGCACATACCGATGAGATAAATAAGATACATGAAGGAAAATACAAGACAGCAGACAGACGGATGAACACAGACTGAACATACAGAATGAAGTCGACCGACAATGTTTGGCCTAGTTCGAATCGTATCGATTGAGGCCACAGATCAATCGGACCAATCTGTGCTTCATTTCTGCACACCGGTCAATTGCTCTCCTGCTATGTATGTATGTATGTGTGTGTGTGTGTGTATGTGTGTGTGTGTGTGTGTGTAAGAATGTAGCCTGTAACCCTCCCGCGGCATCCAAAATACTTCTTTCCTCTTTGGCAGTGAGCAAACATTAAAGGGAGGTAGATAGGTGTGTGTGAGGGTACCTTTAATTCTTCTCCCCCGCTCACATTCCTCCCCTGTACCACGAGTACCTACCGACCTACCTCCCAAGCCTCATCTCATCTGTCCACCTCTTCCATTCCTTCCCTTCTGTCCCCCTCATCGAATACCCCTACTCCCACTCCCACTGCCACCTTGTCATTCAAATGTACGTCCCTCTCCATCCCATCATTTCTTCTTCCTCTTCTTCTTCTTCCTCTTCTCTTATTCTACCATTCGACGAGTGTCGATGGTACGTACATTTTGTAAATTTTCATCGGTCGGCCAAAAAGAATGGCTCTTAAAAGCATTTGCACAATTTGGGATGAAATATTTTTCAGCTTGGATTATTTCAAGACAATCAAAATGATAAACTATCAAATTAAGGATAAAATTATTCAAGGATAAAATTAGTCAAGATTTTTAAATTAGAAATTCTTCAATTAATAATTGAATGATTATTTTTAATTCCTTTTTTTTTTTTTTTTTCAAATTTCTCGATATTTGTCATTATAGTATAGCATAATTTTGAATAATTTTATCAATATCCTAAATAAAATTTTTAGAAATGAATTTGTTTTTTTTTTCTCTTGTTTTGTCTTGTTTAATTCTTAAAATTGCATTTCAGATGGGAAAATTAAAACAGAAAAAAAAAAAAAGAATGGAACATGTAAATAAACAAAGAGAAAAAAAAAGAAGAAAAAATGAAAGAAAAAAATGCAAAGCAAATTGCTAACAACATCTGGGACAATTTATTAGCCTATTATTACTCATTATTCGATAATACATAGTTATATTCCTTTTGATTATTCTAGTTATTCAAACAAAAATTTAAAAAATCAAAAAAATAAAAATTTAGTCTCAAATCTGTTATTTTTTTAAAATAACAGATAAATAATAAGTAAATATATATATATATATATATATATATATAAAATTATTTGAGTTAAAAATTTAATTTCATTGTAAAGATATCATTTTTAAAACAGGAGAAACGCGAAGAAATTGTCTAAATGAAAGTCGAACAAAACTGAAGAATAAGAATTTTCCATACAATAACTTAACGATGTTAATTAATTGCGACAAGACAAGAATATAAGAAAACGAACAAAATGTCTTTTTCAGTAGGTCCAAATTTAAAAAAAAAAAAAAATTTTTTTTTTTAAATATACACAATAGAAAAAAAGATAAAAGGATAGATGTGAAAGATATTGATATAGCATAATGAAAGACATGAAATTATTTGCCTGTTTTTGAATATACTTACCTCATTTTTACATTATTTCAACTTAAGAGGAAAAGTAATACCTCACATAGAAGTAAATCCAGAAATTGAATTTAATTATAAAATTAAATCTTTTATTGCTATAAAATGTATTACTTCTTTTTCTAAAGCTTAAAATAAGCAAACAATAAAGTATGTATGAGAAGCAAAAAATTACATATCTTTTTGACCTATTGATTTTATAATTAAAGACTAAATGTAAAATATTGTGGGAATCATTTCATTATTAATTTCTTTTTAAATTGAAGATGAAAAAAAAAAAATTCTTTTTCTGCAAACTTTAGCATGCTATAACTTTAAAGTTATGAACATCTAATCTATTTTGAACATGATAAGCTTATCACGTCATACTAGCATATGTTTAACTATTTCTTTTTCTTCGTCTTTTTTTTTTCTTTTCTTTTATTATTGCAAACAAATAGAAATTGGTAATCATATATTATCAGTATGAAAAATATTTTAATTCTGATAAAAAATGATAAAAAAATTTTTTGGTTGAGAAAAATGTGATAATTTGTGATAATCACCATAACAAAATATGTGTTACTTTTATACATATTAATATCAAATTATACAATTTTTTTTTTTTTTTTATTCATTTTTCATTTGTTTCTTTTTTTTGCTTAAATTACTACAATTTGCTATTTCCACTGCTACTACAGCAACTACTTCTACAACGATAAGTACTGCTCAATACTGCTTCAGATGTGACATATTTTATCCGTGACATTTTCTTGCTCTCTCTTACCAAAATAATGTTTGGGGAATTTTAATAAAAACCGGTTAGATTAGGTGTTAATGGTGACAATCTTATTACCACCATTGCTTCTACTTTTACTACCCACTAGTATTACTGTTAATACCAATAATACAAATACAATTATTTACTAACTACTTCTACCATATAATTTATTTATTAGCATTTCATAATTATTATTAATGTTCATAATATCTCAGTTGTGAAGAAATATGTAAAAAATAGATTTTAATTTAATTACTAAAATTTCTATCTTTTAATTTTTATCAATCTATATGTTATTAACATTGTAATATTGACATAATTTAACAAATAAAATAATTATAAATCAATAGCTTTTCTAATGTCTTATGAAAATTAAAAAAGAAAAAGCAATTGTATAAGATTTATTCAGCATTGAAAAAAAAGAAAAACTTTTAATTTGTCGCTGAAAAAAAAAAAAAAAAAAAATTAATTACAAAATGCATTTATGCTACATAGGAAATTAATGGATAATTTGCATGTAACAATCAATCATTCAATTAAGATTTGTATCAGTGAACCAATTAATAATTGATTATTAATTATTTTGCAAACAGTATTTTAATGAAATTTATGGATAATACAAAAAAAAAATGAAGAGTAGAATAATTGAAACAATGATTAGCAGTAAAAACATCTTTATTATATGAGAAACAATAAAAAAACAAAATTAATTGCCGATTTAATCACACACCACTAATTCATCTGTGAAATAAACCTTTGACCTCAAAGAATGGAGTTAAATTACGACGATAATGATAATATGCAACTGATAATGTCTGTTGTTGTTGTTATTGTTGTTGTCATCGCTCATTTGTTATCAGTTATTAATAATCAATTCAGTTCAATTCTTTTCAATTAATTTTCATTTCATCCTTTCATTAAATTCCTTCATTGATTCATTTAATTAACTGATTAATTTCTAATTTCACTAATCTATTTCATGTGGTGTGGATTAATTGATTTCATTTAATTAATTAATTTGATGATCATTCCTCTCTTTCGATGTTAATCCATGATATGAGTGAGATGACATGAAATACATCAATAGAAAACTGATGAATCGCTTAAATGTTCCTCTAATTTACTTTTTTATTTTTTGTTTAGTATTAGAAAAACGATGAATTAAATTTTTGATAAATGTGAAAAAGCAATAAGTTTTAATAACAATTGTAAATGAAACAATAATTACAAAAAGAGAAGAAAAAATTGACGAAGAAGAAGCAACAATAAGTTATTTGACAATCACTGATGAATGGTTTTAAAAAAAAAAAAAATATCTTTATGAATGTTTTATTTATCAAAAATGTTCATAAATTGCAAAATTATTTACAAATATTTAGATATTCAAAATATTAAGTAATATTTGAAATTGAAATGTAAGAACAAATAATTAATCATTCCGTTAATTGAAAATGGAATTTTATAATTAAAATATTTCAAATACGCAAAATTTTGATAAATTTTAATTCCAATTATATAAATAATACCTGTTGACAGTAATGAATACAAAGGAGAAATAAATGGAACGAATAGTTGTTTAATTAATTAATTAAACAAATCATTAAAGAATTGAGCTTAAAAAATGATAAGTTAAAGAACGGGTAATTTTTTTAAAAAAATTTCAATTTTAAAAATTTAATTTTGATAATGGAAAAATAGAGTGAGAGTTGAATTTAAGTAAAATACAATAATCTTTTATGCTTTTTGTTTGTGCTTTTTTTAATATTTGAAAAAAAAAAAAAGCATGAAAAGCTCTCATTTATCTACTTTTTCCCGGTTTATCTATTTGTGTATTTATTTGAGAGTTAACTGATCTGTCTATTTGATAATTTAATTTACCTTTTTATCTAACTATTTGGAACTTGAATTAATTAATTAATCAATCAATCAATCAAGTAATATGTTTATCTATGCTTATTTTCAATTTTTGTTAGATATATATTCACTCACTTGTTGATATCTTACAATTTACCTATATTTTTAAATAGTACTTATCGCTTTTCATAAAAATAACGAATAATTCATTCATTATATTTAATTATAAGTTTTGTGCAAAATGTTTTTTTTTTTTTTTTCATTTTTTAAAATCATTTTTTTTTTCATTTTTTTACAATCATTTTTAAAATCATGATTTGTTTAATTGAAATATTGGACTAAATTTTAAGAAATAATGTATGAAAGATTGTTGATAATGAACCACGGATATTATTTCAATGTTAAAAATTCAAATAAAATAAGCTTTCAAAACAGAAAAATAATTAATAAAAAAAAAAAATAAAAAATAGTGAATCATAACAATCTAAACTAATTAATGTATGAATCAATAAAATATAACTATTATATAAACTATTCTCTCATCATTAACTTTTTATTTTTTATTCTAAGCATTTATTTTTTTTTTTTTTCATTTAATTTTGCAAAGCTGAAAACTTTTTTTTTTTTAATTTTTAAAGTATTTGAAAGTTTGAAGCAATGAAAATGAATCAATTAGAAATTAAATTATGTTTATTCATTCTTTTCTCATTAAAAAAAAATAATAAATTCTAACAAAATGGATATTAGGCAGTATGTCATTTTCTTTTTCTTTTTTGCATTCAAATGTTTAAATATGAAATTTTTACGTACTTAAAAAAATTGATATTAAATTATGGAAATGATTTTGGTTTAATTATTGAATTTCAATTATTGAATTCATTTTCAAGTGATACGGATATATTCATTAGTTAGTTTGTATGATAAATCGATTGTGGCACTTCTTATTTCTCTATCTCTTCCTTTCTTTTTTTTTTTTAAATTTCTTTGATCACAACTAATTTCCATATTCCGCGGGAAACTTTTGATTTGTTGACTAATGCAAATTCTTCCTTATGTAGTATTTCTTTGTTTGTGGAGGGAAAAACTTAATTTGTGGATGAAAAATTCTTCCTAATCATTGGTGTTTAGCAATTGGGGTAATTGGGGGCTTACGTAATCTTCAAAGTTTACGTAAGTCAATGACCGTAAGTCAAAGTCATTCAAAGTTTACG